CATAGAATAGAATCATAGAATCATAGAGTTGGAATAGACCACAAGGGCCATCAAGTCCAACCCCCTGCCAAGCAGGAAACACCATCAGAGCACTCCTGACATATGGTTGTCAAGCCTCTGCTTAAAGACCTCCAAAGAAGGAGACTCCACCACACTCCTTGGCAGCAAATTCCACTGTCAAACAGCTCTTACTGTCAGGAAGTTCTTCCTAATGTTTAGGTGGAATCTTCTTTCTTGTAGTTTGGATCCATTGCTCCGTGTCCGCTTCTCTGGAGCAGCAGAAAACAACCTTTCTCCCTCCTCTATATGACATCCTTTTATATATTTGAACATGGCTATCATATCACCCCTTAACCTCCTCTTCTCCAGGCTAAACATGCCCAGCTCCCTTAGCCGTTCCTCATAAGGCATCGTTTCCAGGCCTTTGACCATTTTGGTTGCCCTCCTCTGGACACGTTCCAGTTTGTCAGTGTCCTTCTTGAACTGTGGTGCCCAGAACTGGACACAGTACTCCAGGTGAGGTCTGACCAGAGCAGAACACAGTGGCACTATTACTTCCCTTGATCTAGATGCTATACTCCTATTGATGCAGCCCAGAATTGCATTGGCTTTTTTAGCTGCCGCGTCACACTGTTGGCTCATGTCAAGTTTGTGGTCAACCAAGACTTCTAGATCCTTTTCACTAACTGCTTTCTCCATACCACACATAATTCTATAAAAATCATCATGTCACCTGCTACTCGCCTTCTCTAAGGCTAAGCTAAAAAGTCCCAGACCCTGCATGTTAAAGGGGAGTTCTCTCCATGCCCTTGATCATTTTGGTTGCCCTTTTCTGAACCTATGCATATTAAGCTTCCAATCCTTCTCATTATTAGTATTAGTATTAATCAGATTTATTAGTCTTTTTTTGCCACGGCAATGAAAAGTGACGTCAAAAACAATTTTAAAAAACATATAAACATTTGGGGAGGAAAGACAGTAAAACGTCCCACCCACTCTAAAACCCCATCAATTGTTAAAGGTGTGGTTTAAAAGGAACATATCTGCCTGAATTGCCTTGAAGTCATAACTTTAACCCATCACTGTGCGTCTGGTTTTTAAGGAAGGGTACAGAAGGACACGGGTGGCGCTGTGGGTTAAACCACAGAGCCTAGGACTTGCTGATCAGAAGGTCGGCGGTTCGAATCCCCGCGACGGGGTGAGCTCCCGTTGCTTGGTCCCTGCTCCTGCCAACCTAGCAGTTCGAAAGCACGTCAAAGTGCAAGTAGATAAACAGGAAGGTAAATGGCGTTTCTGTGTGCTGCTCTGGTTTGCCAGAAGCGGCTTAGTCATGCTGGCCACATGACCCGGAAGCTGTACGCCGGCTCCCTCGGCCAATAAAGCAAGATGAGCGCCGCAACCCCAGAGTCAGCCACGACTGGACCTAATGGTCAGGGGTTCCTTTATCTTTACCTTTACAGAGGGACAAAAGGTAAATGAGATTTCACAAACCACTGCTGTGCTGTTAATGGGATATTCTCTCTCTCTCTCTCTCTCTCTCACACACACACACACACACACACACACACAATATAAACATTTAAAAATAGTTTTTATGGCCAGGTGCAGCATTTGGGAAAGAAGTGATTCAAAGAGAATCCTTCATTTGCAAACAAGCATGCCCTGGTGGTTAACGGGCAAACTAACATCCAGGGAGACAGGTTCAAATCCCTACATGGCCATGGCCATAACTCTTAACAGGTAATAGTGACCCTGCAATACCCTCAGCGCCTCCTAGCCTACCTCGCAGGACTGTCTTGCAAGAATGAGGAAACATAATCACACACATGCAGCCTTAGGGTATAACAGCAAAATGTGTTGGGGTTTTTTAATGAAGTTTCGCCCAGTCATATAAAACTTGTTTTCAAAGAGTACCCCCCCCCAAAAAAAACAATCCTGCTTTAACTGCCCCCCACACAAAGAACTGCATAAAAAAGCAGTGTATAAATTAAATAGTAATAAATGACCTGTGATCAGCTGTGTGAACGACTGCTATGCTTCCAAAGAATCTGGCAACAACTGACATTTAGCCTCTTTTGTATGCCATTAAAAGCATCCCACATTTTACCAAATTCCTGTCACATCCAAGAAATAATGCATAATAATGCATGCATCTCTTTATTACTTTGAAGAGGGCACAGGCAGAATCCGCAGTGGCATCTCCAGGTAGAGCTGGTAGACACCCCTGTCTAAAATCCAGGAGAGATGCTGCCAGCCAGTGTTAACAATACTGGGATGGATGAGCCAGTGGCCTGAAGGCGGAGTCCTAAGTTTACACAAATCTGAAAACCTCTGATGCAGTGTTAGAAACTCAGGTATTTAAGGTAAGCACCAAATGGTTCCTTAAACCAAGGTTAGAGTCACCAAAACAGAATGTCTAGTTGCCATTTTGGGGTAAGTCGGCTCTAAAGTCTGATTTTTCAAATGATGGACTGACTACGATTGATTCTCAAACATCTGGCTAGTTCAGATGACAACCTTGAGCTAGTTTAAGTGATCTGAGAACTTAAAGAAGAAAAGTCACTTGATCCAGGGACAGTCCAAATATATATTGGCCTATTCTGACCTCTTTTTCTTAATGGTGAGTGCTCCTGTTCAGGCTACACATAAAAAGCATTTTGGTTCCAGAAATTCTTCCCGGTTGTGCAGATAAAATATAACTGATAGAATTCTACAGGATGGAGTATTAGTGTGTGAAAACAGTCCAGATCCAATGATTCCCGAGGTGCTGGAGACGTGACACACCATTTTGGCATCCAGGCATCTTCACTTGGTCGCAAGTGGTCGAAAGCCAGTTGCAAAATGCACCTAGCGCCTGGCTAATTTTGAACACTGCTCTGATGCTCTTGTTTTTATAATGTATTTAGCGTTTTTATGTTAAGTCAGGGGTCAGCAACCTTTTTCCAGCCATGCGCCGGTCCACCGTCCCTCAGACTGTGTGGTGGTCCGGACTAATTTTTTTTTGGGGGGGGGGTGAACGAATTCCTATGCCCCACAAATAACCCAGAGATACATTTTAAATAAAAGGACACATTCTACTCATGTAAAAACATGCTTATTCCCGGACCATCCGCAGGCCAGATTGAGAAGGCGATTGGGCCGCATCCGGCCCCTGGGCCTTAGGTTGCCTACCCCTGTGTTAAGTGCTCTGAGATCTACGGATGAATGGTGGTAAACAAATCCAGCAAATACGTAAAGTTAAATAAATAAATCTTCTGTGTTCTCATTTTGCATTTCTATGTTGTAAACAGCCCTGTGAACTTCAAATGTAGGGTGCTATGCAAATTTAATAAATAATAAACAAAAATAATAAAGAATACCACCCATTTCTCTCTCACACACCTTGGACACTAAACCCCCAGAAGACCTTCCATGTGTCCTTATTTTCCAGGGACAGTCCCAGATTTACAGAAACCGCCCCGGTTTCTGATGGGATCCCGGAATGTCCTGCTTTTCCTTAGGACAGGGGTCTGCAACCTTTAAGACAAAAAGAGCCACTTGGACCCGTTTCCGAAGGAAAAAAAACTGGGAGCCGCAAAACCACTGCGACATTTAAAGCATGCGTGCCGCTGCCCTCCAATCTGACAGCGGCGGGAAAGTGACGCCGGGACAGTGTGTGACTAACGCACGCACCGCCCCCATGCGACGTCACAGCCAGTACAGCGCCCACCACAGTGGGGAGTGTCGGGGCGCACAATGCGCCTCCTCCCCTCGCTAGTATCTGCCCCAGAGCCGCGGCAAAGGTGTAAAAGAGCCACATGCGGCTCCGGAGCCACGGGTTGCAGACCCCTGCCTTAGGACATCCATATTTTCACCGGGGAAATGTTGGAGGGTATGGAGTCATGCAAACCCCGCCCCCGAGCCAAGGGGATAAGTAACTACAGTGGTACCTCTGGATGCGAATGGGATGCGTTCCAGAGCCCCGTTCACATCCAGACGCAACTCAACCTGCGTCCGCGCATGCACGGGTCGCGATTTGCCACTTCCACGCATGCCCGTGATGTTATTTGACCTTCTGCGCATGCGCGAGCAGCAAAACCCAGAAGTAACACGCTCCGTTACTTCTGGGTCGCCACAGCACGCAACCCGAAAATACTTATCCCGAAGCTACTTCAACCCGAGGTATGACTGTATACAACCTATGGAAGACATCTGAAGGAAGACTTGCATAGGGAAGCTTTTTAGCGTTCAATGTTTTGTTACATTTTTATGTATTGGAAGCCGCCCAGAGTGGCTGGAGCAACCCAGTCAGATGGACAGGGTATATAAATATTATTATTATTACTATTATTATTATTTAATAGGACATCCCTATTTTCATTGGAGAAATGTTAGCGGATATGGAGTTCTGTGACCCCTGAACCAAGGGGATAAGCAAATATTCAACCTTTAGAAGACATCTGGAGGCAGACCTGCATAGGGAAGTTTTCCAATATTCAATGTTTTGTTATGTTTTTATATATGTCGAAAGTTGCCCATAGTGGCTGGAGCAACCCAGTCAGATGGACAGCGTGAGTGTAAAATAAAATAAAAATAATAATTTAATAGGACACCCCTATTTTCATTGGAGAAATGTTGGAGGGTATGGAGTTATGAGACCCCAGAGCAATCATAAGGCAGCCCTGTATAGAAGTTTTAAAAAAGTTTTATTGCATTTTTATGTATGTTCTAAGCTGCCCAGAGTGGCTGAGGCAACAGGGTCAGAGGTGTGGGGTATAAATCCTGAAATAACAACAACAGCAATTCTTCATTGGAATAGTAATGATGGTGGTGGTGATGATAATAATAATAATATAATAATAATAATAATGATTTCTTCATATGGAAGAGGACGTATTTTCACAGAAGGGTATGCCCCAGTCCAGCTCTCACACACCCCTGCCCACATGCCCTGCCAGCCCTCCTTGCCCCCTGCCGGCTTCCACTTCTGCATCCCTTCCTTTTATTCCCCCGTCACCCACCGTCGAGGGAGACGAACTGCCCGACGGCCGACGACCCTCCTCCGCTGTTCTCCACGAACTGCACCTCGGAGACGATGATGTTGTCCTCGAGGACGGAGCCGCAGCCCGTGCAAACCGCGTCTCCGCGGGCCGAGTCCACCTCGATCTCCGAGCTGCCGCACGCGGCGCACACCCGCCCGCCGCCGCCGCCCGGCATCTTCGGGCGCGAGAGGCAGCAGGGAGGCAGGCTCCCCTCAGGCCCAAGGAAAAACCCCGCCGCCGCCGCCGCCGCCGCCGCCTCGCGGGCCGGGCCGGCGACCCCCCTCCGCCCGCCCGCCCGCCTGCTCTCTCTCGCCGCCACACGCGCGCTCTCCCTTCACGGGCCTCGGCCGGCTCCCTCGCCGGCTCCACCTCGGCCCGCAAACGCCGCCCCTTCTCGCGAGGCCGGCGAGGCCTAGTCGCCTCCCCTCGCCGGGAACGGGCGAGCCGAGCGCTCGCGGGCCGAGGGGGCGCGTTCGGCTTCCAGCCCGCTCGACGCCCCGCGGCCTAGGCGCTCCCGCGGGGCTTCGCGGGCCTCTCTTGCCTCAGGCAGGGCAGCGGGAAGCCTGTGGGCCCCTCAGGCTGCTCGTGGACTACAACTCCCGTCAGCCCTCGCCAGCGCGACCTGGTAGCAGGGGCTGATGGGAGATGGAGTCCAAGAGCTGCCTGAGGGCCGCTGGTTCGCTTCCCCGGGGTAAGGGCCGGGATGCCGAAGGGAGGGTTTGTTTGCCGCTTGGATTTTGGGTTCTAGCTAAGCAGGTCCAGCTGGTGGCTTGTCGTTTTCTGGAGGGACTCGGTATGGGTTGTTTTAGCTTGCCCCGCGTTCGCAGAAAACAAGCAGAGGTGGGGCCAACCCAATTAACTTTTAAGTCAAAAAGTGTTTTGTTTTGATTTTATCCTGCTCCTAGGCCACACAAACACAGAAGTTGTGGTGGGGGTGTTGTCACATTGCAGCTTGCAGATATCAGCAAAGAAATCACCTCAGGCTTACAATGGGGAAGACACAGCACTAAAGGAAAAAAGGAGTAGGAGGGAGAAGGTGGAAAAGCAAACCTATTTCTTCATTACTGAGTTCTTGTACTGAGCAGGTGGAAGGAGCCAAACGCTGCTGGTCTTTCAGCGGAACTTACAAAGAAAGTCCTCTTTCCCACTCCCATGGCTTGATGAATTGTGGGGGGCTGATAGTAAATGTGTATATTCCTCAGAATTGTTGTGGCCATGTGTATGTCAAATCTGAGTGGCTGGGGAAACCCAGCCAGATGGGCAGGGTGCAAATAATAAATTATTATTATTATCCCTAACTGTTAAAGTGTGGGGCTTACCTCCTTCTTGAGCTAGAATTTCACCCCCCAATCAGTGACCTTCCCAGAGAGGAGTCTGGATTGCTGCTGTGGAAAATGAATTTGTGGGGAGTGTTGCACTAGAAAGACAGGCCTTCATTTGGGTTGCTGATTTCATTCACTGCATAGAACATAGAATCATAGAGTTGGAATAGACCACAAGGGCCACTGAGTCCAACCCCCTGCCAAGCAGGAAACACCATCAGAGCACTCCTGACATATGGTTGTCAAGCCTCTGCTTAAAGACCTCCAAAGAAGGAGACTCCACCACGCTCCTTGGCAGCAAATTCCACTGTCGAACAGCTCTTACTGTCAGGAAGTTCTTCCTAATGTTTATTAGGATATCTATGATAATGTTTATTAGGACATCAGATATCCCAGGATATCTGAAAAATAAAGAGCCCCTGAGCATGGAGAGTATATTTCCATCACCACTGAATAAACAAAGCCTCCACAAAGAGAGAAAGAAGATTCTCATTCGCAATGGTTTTCTTCCTAGTTATGTGTAAGGTAAAGGTAAAGGGACCCCTGACCATTAGGTCCAGTTGTGGATGACTCTGGGGTTGTGGCGCTCATCTCACTTAATTGGCCAAGGGAGCTGGCGTACAGCATGACTAAGCCGCTTCTCGCGAACCAGAGCAACGCATGGAAACGCCGTTTACCTTCCCGCCAGAGCGGTACCTATTTATCTACTTGCACTTGATGTGCTTTCAAACTGCTAGGTTGGCAGGAGCAGAGGCCAAGCAACGGGAGCTCACCCCGTCGGGATTCGAACCGCAACCTTCTGATCGGCAAGTCCTAGGTTCTGTGGTTTAACCCACAGCGCCACCCGCGTCCCCGTTATGTGTACCTAAGTACAAAAAGCAGCATGTGAAATGGGAGTGTTTTGCCAGTAGATGCAAGGCCACTTAGAAGCTGCATCCCCTCTTTTCCAGGAAGAGCATCATGGCAAGGGGAAGATAAGCCTGGTCCCACCCACCAGGTAAGGAGCAGCTGCTCCCCCACCCCAACCTTGCCAAAAAAGAACATTCCACTTCTTCTGCCTGTTCTTAGACTGGAGAGCTGAAGGGAACCAAAACTCCTGCCTCATCCATCAGGCAAAGGACTAAGGGGTCTTGGGCTGTGTTCCTGCCATGAGTTGCAAGGTATAAACCTTCTAACTAAGCAAATAAGCAATAGATCAAGCTACGAAGAGAAGAAAAACCATCTTGTAGGATCAATCTCGTTTTACATGAAGCAGATGGCTCGGCACTTCGCTGAAATGCCTCAGGGTTCGTACTGGAAATTCCATCACGACAAATCAGTCCTAAAGTACTCTCAGCTAATTATTGTTCACTTGGGTCACTTGGTCTAGCATTTTCCTAAGTGCAAATTGCCCATCACTCCTCAAACACTCTTTAATTAACCCCCCCCAACACACACACACACACACACACACACGTACGTGTTCTGGAAGAGTGCTTAAGAATACAAAACATTGAAGAAAATGTTCATTCACATTTAAGGCTAAATTATCTTCTTCTTCTTTGGTGATCACTCGTAGCCGAGTAAGATTGTCTTCCATAAACATGGTTTTAACAATGAGTCCGTAAGTGACTGTGGAGGCCAATTCTGGATCCACACATCCTTCCACAGTGGGGGACATTGGTTTCCGGGCAGGAGTTGATCACAGTGTGGATTTGCCAAGTGAGCATGAGCAAAGTTCTTATTGTTACAGGGTGATTTCATAGCTAGAAGCATCCTTGGAGCATGAACAGCGCGTGAACAGCTCGTGCTGTCCCATATGATTGGCTAACGTAGCATGGCCTGATCGCTCGCATGGTCTAGTACCAAGGTCTTTATCTGCTGGCTAGAACAAATTGCTTGGCTTGTATTTTTTGTATCTTTCTATTTCACACAATAAAAGCTGTGCTGCATTAGCCCTAGGAGCAGCCATATTTCGGAACCTATCATGGGTGTGAGACTGATTTTCCTCTGAATGCCGAGCTGCAACTCGACAATTGGTGCCCCGTGTGATTGCCTTCGGACTTCACGTTGTTTTTTCATTATTCAGCACTCACCAACATGTTGTTCATCCACGTAGTGGATCCCTGGTGAGTGCTCCCGTGTGACTGCCTTCGAACTTCACGTTGTTTTTCATTATTCAGCACTCACCAACACGTCGTTCATCCACGTAGTGGATCCCTGGTGAGTGCTCCCGTGTGATTTCTTTCGGACTTCATGCTGTTTTACAACGTTCAGCCTCACCTCGCCCGGCAGGGCTGCAGACGCGTCGTTCATCCACGTAGTGGATCCCCGGTGAGAGCTCCCGTGTGAATGTGATTCTGGACTACGTTACGGACTTATCAGCACTTATCTCCGCCCGGACAGGGCAAAAGGCGCCTTCCTCATCCTCCTACGGATCCCTCCGGTAAGTGCTCCCTGCTCTTTTTGCAACTCTTGCAATCATGGGAAAATCTCTCTCTGCACCACAGAAAAAAATTTTTAAAGACCTTTAAATTCCTTTTGGCCAGTAACAACCTTGCTGTTCGGAAAGCTGACCTTAAGTCCCTTATAAAAGCCCTGGACACTCACTGCCCCTGGTTCCCCCAGGACGGAAATTGGGAGTTTAGACGATTGGAAAAAAATTGGACACTTCTTTCAAAATCATCCTCAGATTGATGTCAAGGTTTTGCACGCCTGGAGTAACGTCTACAAAGCTATGTCGTGCTTAACTCCTTCAAACATTCTTCTGGCTGCCGCAACAGCTTCTTCGCCCGCCCTCCCAGCTCCCGCTTTGCCTGCCTCAAACCTACCTCCTAAACCGCCGGACATTCTCCCTCCGGCTTCTCCCGTCACTCCCCTGCATTCTTCAAATTCTGCAGCACCCCCCGTTCTTCCACCTCCTCCGCCCAAGGCATTTGGCACCGCTTCTACTACTCCTCTCCAAGAATCTCTCCGCGCCGCTGCCCCATTGTTGGGTTTTGATTCTACAACTCCTAATCTTTTTCCTGTGAGTGTTACTGCCGCCCCAGGGGGAGGCCCAGCCCGGCACGAACAGTTTGATTTGAGATTCATAAAGGAACTGTATTCTTCTGTCAAGGACAATGGCCCTGCACCCCCAGCCCCTGTTATGCTGAACCAAACTGATGTTCTTGATGGCTTAACTGGCGAAGGCAATTTTCTTACTATTGCCCAACAGTTGGCCCTTGATCCCATGTATTGGACAGCTACTACTGCTGCCGCCCAAGAAGCTTTGTCCTCTGTTCCTGATGACAAGAATGAGCGCGGTGGCAGCATCAGACAGGGTCCTACAAAGCCCTATGGACAATTTGTCAATCGCTTGGATAACACCCTTAAACGGCAAGTTCAGGACGTAGCAGCCCAGGAAGTGATAGTACGCCAGCTTGCTTTTGATAATGCTAATGAGGACTGTAAACAAGTTCTACGCCCATTGGTGGCAACTCCCAATATAGCCATTGCAGATATGCTTAAAGCCTGCCAATCGGTGGGGACTGAGATGCATAAAGCTCGCTTGCTAGCCGCAGCTCTATCCTCCACTGTGTCCAAGAATCCTGCAAAGGATAAAACCTGCTTTGGATGTGGCAAAGTGGGCCATTTTCGTGCACAGTGCAGATCTAATACAGAGCAATGTCGTCCTAGCACAAAATGCCCCATTTGCAAAAAAGGTTTCCACTGGGCCAATCAGTGTCGCTCCGCCACGCCTCAGCAGAACCAGCAAAATCAGCCGACGGGAAACCGGCAGTCGGGCCCACCCCGGGCCCAGGCTCAACAATAGGGGATCCAGCGCATTCTCCAGCCATCCCACCTCCGGCCTTGCCTCGCCTCCTTTTAATTCAGGACTTATACCTGCCAGTCCCCTTTGTACCACACCAAGTCAGGGTGTCAATAGGGGCTGGTT